CTTTGTGCAGCAGCCAGCACACAGGGAGCAGCTGTTTTGTGGGTTTATATTTGTCTCTCCCAGAGGGTGGGAGCTCTCCGAAGGCGCTGTCAATGCTTTTAAAGGCGTGCGAGCAGAATTGGAGTGCTACTACTGCGCTCACACAGAACGGGTTCCCCAGTTCCCAGCATGCCACAAGTGCAAGGCAGAGCCCATCTCGTCAAGTCCAGGGGCTGGATGTGGCTTTAGGGATCCCTCAGGTGAGGCTCTGTGCAGAGAGCATCCTGGATGCTGTCCAAACTGCTTGGGGTGTAGTTATTCCTTCCAAATAGATGTTTTTCCTAAAAGAGGCAAGGCAGCAAACATTGGAATGGGAACGCGGGTATCCTTGGGAAGCATCTCCCTTCTGGCAGCACAGGGTGAGCCTTAGCTCATCCTGAGCTAAGGGATATGGCAGGGAATACCCAGATCATCACCTGCTGGTGGCTGCTCCGTGTTGGTGATCTTCCAGCCCTTTTATTTGGATCAGATGGAGCCATCCCGTGGGTGTTCCCTGTGCCTCAGATGTGCCAGGAGCGCTGATCAGCATCAGTCAGTGAGCTGCAGGCAGCACAACAAACCTGGTATTTGATAAGGATAATAAGGTGGTGCAGATAGGCTACACTGCATGTTGTAATTAGCAGAGGAGCTGCTGGGTGTGGAAGAAGGGATGACTAAATCCAGGGATGCCATCCCTCCATCTGTGGTGGTTTTGTTGCCAGCTGGGTGCAGCCAGGGAAGCCGGTTATGGCTCCATATGTTCCAATTGCCTCTGTCTTTGCTTTCCAGTTGTATGTGACTTGCTCGTAGAGGTTGTGCTTGCAAGAGGATTGGAATTCTGGGGGGCAAAATGTGCCCTGGGCAAGGGCATCTGGCCTCGCTGTAGTAAACCTGCTCATCCCCAGGCACTGGGATTTGGGAAACACCCCTTGTCCGTGCTCACCCACCAAACTGTTTTTCCAGCGGTCGGCTTGGGCAGCGGGGGTGAAACCGGGTTTCCAGTGGGAATGCAGCCAAATAACATCACCTGCCTGTGGAGGAGCTTCGTGTCTTTGTGTCCTAAAGGTGCTTTCCTTGCCAGGCTAAAGAGATCCTCACCAAGGAATCCAATGTGCAAGAGGTACGCTGCCCCGTCACCGTCTGCGGGGATGTCCACGGGCAGTTCCACGACCTTATGGAGCTCTTCAGGATCGGTGGGAAGTCTCCAGACACAAACTACCTGTTCATGGGAGACTACGTGGACAGAGGCTATTACTCCGTGGAGACAGTGACTCTGCTGGTGGCGTTGAAGGTACGGCTTGGGAGACCGGGGATAAAACCTGGGAGCCATTTTCTCCTCCTGGCGACGCTGCTGTTGGCTCGGGTGTAAAGGGATCCGTGTCAGCAGCCACGTGCTGGGAGCAGAGCGCTTGGCAGTGCTGGTGATATTCCATCACTCCCTGTTTCCGTGCTGAGGAAGCGTTGTGTGCCCCCCAGGTGCGGTACCCGGAGCGCATCACGATCCTGAGGGGCAACCACGAGAGCCGGCAAATCACGCAGGTCTACGGCTTCTACGACGAGTGCCTGCGCAAGTACGGCAACGCCAACGTCTGGAAGTACTTCACAGACCTGTTTGATTACCTTCCTCTCACAGCTCTAGTAGACGGCCAGGTGAGTCTGGGATGAGGAAAGCCCTGCCTTCCGTAGATTTCTGCAGGCTGTGTTGTCTGACATCCACAGGAACGGTCCCAGACAAGCTCCTGTGACTTGTGATCCCGGGTGAGATGGCTGGGGTGGTGTGTGTGAGTGTTAACAGGGTTAGGCACAGCTGGTTTGGAGATCATTCCACTTAATGGACTGCTCTTTTCTTCCTGGAACAGATATTCTGCCTCCACGGTGGCCTCTCTCCATCCATAGATACACTGGATCATATCAGGGCTCTGGACCGCCTGCAGGAAGTTCCACACGAGGTAGGAAAAGAAATGCATCGGAAACTTAACATTTGCATTTTCCACCAGCAGATATTTTTCTCACATTGCAGACCATTTAAACATGTGGTTACACATGGATTGTGGCCTTTCCAGGAGCTAGAGCAGATGAACATTTGGACAAAGCACACATAAGTCAGTGTGCTTTGATTACAGCAGCCTACATGAGGAGAGCTGTGGGGGTTTCACAGCTGTTTTCCCCAGAATCGTGGGAGTTTTGGGCTTTCAGTCTGACTCAAAAGCAGGATTTGGCAGGGGAGGGTGTTTACTATCTTCAGCCTCCTCACAGATGTGGTTGTGAACTTACAACCCCCATGTGTAGCCACACTGTATCACCATCCTTCCTCCCCAGCCAGCCCAGCCTCCCTCCTACCATGTTGCACCTTGTTGCAGCTTCCTGGGGCCTGAAATCTGGGCTGAAATCCGCACTTGGAGCTCCCGGGGCAGCTGGAAGTGGTATTGGGAGTGGCTGGGGCTCGCAGATGTGTGCTCAGTAAACTCCTCACGTGCCTTGCACCGGGCAGGACGTGCTGGCAGTCTTGCTGCTGTAAATAAAACGTGTTCAAGCACCTTGCCAGTGATGTAACAGAGCTCCTAATCTTTGCCAAGGGTCCGATGTGTGATCTGTTGTGGTCGGATCCGGATGACCGCGGCGGCTGGGGCATTTCTCCACGTGGTGCTGGCTACACCTTCGGGCAGGACATTTCCGAAACCTTTAACCACGCCAATGGGCTCACGCTGGTCTCCCGCGCTCACCAGCTGGTCATGGAGGTAGGACAAGCACCCTGCCAGCCAGGGCTGGCAAAACAGGGGGTCTCCTCTGGGACTCACAGGTTTGTTGGCACCTAAATCTCACACAGTACCAAAGAGAGGCTTTAGTCATGTGAAAACAGCAACATCAAGTGAGGTGCTTTGACCTGCAGCCTAAATTAAGGGGATGTGTTCTGGCCTTTCCAAGCAAATTTCCCCCTCCGAGTAAATTGCCAAAGGGGCCGTGTCACTCCCCGTTTGTAATCTTCTTACATGCTGACTTGTTCTTGCTCTGGCTGCTGCTGCCTGTGCCACGGTGCTCAGCAGTCAGATGTGATGGGGATTATGCCATTTTTGGCTGTCGACAGGCTATTCTTGGATGTCTTGCTGGAAAAATGCCAGGTGGGTCAATGGAGCAGATGCCTTGTTAAAATCTAGTGCGGGTAGCTCCCTTAAGCAGAGCCGTGTGTCAGAAGTCACTGGCATTCAGCAGGCAAATTGTCACTTGTGGTGGAGGAAAGCTGAAGGCATCCCTAAAAATCCCAAGGCTTTTTAGTGGTGCAGTCCATAATTTACAAGTGAGGAGTGGATGATCTCCTGTAGGCTGCTCGAAGCTGGTTTGGCCAGGTACCTGCTGCTGCTTCTTGTGGCAAAGCACGTATTTTGAAACAAAACTAAGCCAGTTGGAAATACTTCAGGAAATCTGCAGTTTCACAAGTGCCTCAGAGAGTTTCAGGCCGGAAGAGGAACATTGGAGGGGCTGAGGTTTAACAGAGACCTTTTGTTTTTCTCTCTCTGTCCCTGGCAGGGTTATAACTGGTGCCACGACCGGAATGTGGTTACCATCTTCAGTGCCCCCAATTACTGCTACCGCTGTGGGAACCAGGCTGCTATCATGGAACTAGATGACACTTTAAAATATTCCTTGTGAGTATGCTGCCCTGGGCTGGGCTCTCTTTCTAGACACTCTTTGAGGAGTGGCTGATCATTCCCAAAGGGGTTCTTCCATGAAAAGCCAGCTCAGACCACTCTGGAGTTAGTGTGTGCTCTGCCTTAGAATAAGTTAAGCTCCTAAAAGCTTCTCTTCCTGGCTGTCTGGAGAGTTGGAGCTTTTGCATTTCGATCTCTTTATTGCCTAAGCTTGATGGAGGGAGTAAAAACACATGGATTTGTCTGTTTTCACCTTTGGTAGCTCTGAGCTTTGTAAGATGGGGGAGAGGGTCGGAGTTGTGCTTTCAGCTGCTCCCGTGGGAAAGCAGTGACGGGCTGCTGGGTCACTCTGATGAGTTTTAACTCCCGTGAGTTCTTCTTTTGGGGCTGGGAATGCTTGGTGAAGCAGCCTGGTGTTTTATCGTGGCAGTGGAAAATGACTTGTGGAGGAGGAGGGTAAGTGATCCCTTTTTCTTCCCTGCAGCCTCCAGTTTGACCCAGCACCTCGTCGTGGAGAGCCTCATGTTACCCGTCGTACCCCAGACTACTTCCTATAAACCTCTCCCAGCCTTTGTAGAAGGAAGTACACCTGGCATTTTAAAAGAGCAACAATATTTACACGTTTCTGTAAGAAATCAGGGTTCGTCTCAACTCAAATCCCCATCATGGACCAAAATGTGCCATACAGAGGACGAAGAGCATTTAGCACAACTTGAGACTGAATTCCTTACGACACTCTCTCTGTCCCATGCCCATCAGCCCGAAAGTCAGTTTGCCTGCTGTATTTGTAGTCATTGTTTTCCTTCTGGACTGTTCAGAGAGGAAAAGGTAACACTTTAACAACACTCATCTCCTCTGACGCTTCTTTGTACATTTTTAGTTCTAGTGTTTAACTGGCATGAATTAGAGTTTGTTTTCCAGGGAGGTGCACACTAACTTCATCCCCCACCACTCTTTATTTTATTGGAAAGACCGCTCAACTTAACTGGAGAAAGGAAGTGATTCCTGCTTGGGAGTACGTTGTCATAACCCAGATAGAAGCGTTCCCTTTTTAGCTCTATTCCCGTTCCGTGCTGATCCTGCCCCCCCCTTTTTTTTTTAATTGTTTTGGGGTATTTTGTTTTATTTTGTTTTCTCTTTTGTTATTCCCCCCTTTCCCCTCTGTATATTTGTCCTGGAAGTGCTTGCAATCCTCCTCGCTGTACCTGAACCAATAAACTCGCCGTTGTCAGCCCCAACACGTGGTGTCGTGCGGGACCGGGGCGGGACCGGGGCGGGCCGGGGGCGGTCCCGGGGCGGGCCGGCGGGGCCAGACCGAGCCTGGAGCGATGGCGGCGGCCGCCTACGAGCTGCTGGTGCTGGGCGGCGGCTCCGGGGGGCTGGCGGGGGCTCGCCGGGCGGCCGAGCTCGGCGCCCGGGTGGCGCTGGTGGAGCCGCAGCGCCTCGGCGGCACCTGCGTGAGTCTCTTGCGGGTGGACCCCCACCCCGGGCGGGGAGGGACGCGGGGCCGGTGCCCCTTCGCTGGCCCCGGTGGCGGGGCGACCGGGGAGGGTCGCGGTGCGGGAGGCGGGAGAGGGGGAATCGCGCTCCCGGTGTCCGAGCGTTGTGCAAGGATCTGCTTTGTCAGGCCTTGAAGCAGGACGGATCCCAGTCCCCCGTCTGCACTGGTTTCTTCCTGGCTGTTTCCAAGCCGTTTTCAGGCAGGTGCCAGGGTGCCGATGGATCCTGGATCTGTGTAGCACAGCTGCAAGGCGGTAAAGCAGAACTCAAGAGCGTGGTGAGCTGGTAATGAGCCAAAAAACAAATTGGTTCCTCAGACAAGCCAGGGCCAGGCTCTAATTTTATGCCCTAAATGCATTCTACTGGGAAAATTACCATATTCCCAGAAGTGCAGGCAAAGGATGGCAAACACCTTTCTGCTACTAAGTAACTTTTAGAGTATCAGTGGAAAAAACCCCTGCGTTTGAAGGCTCCACCTTCCATATTCTCTTTCAAGGAAGTGAAGGAAAACGGGCAAACCGCAAAGACCTTGAGCCTCCCAGGGTGGTTACACCCCTCTTTTTCCAGGAACCCTTAATCCTGCCTTTGTTTCCCTGAGCCTCTGCTGGGATGCAATGCCAGCCCGATGAGGGATGCTCTCTGGAGCACTGCCTTGAGAAAATTGGGCCTTGACACTGAGACTTGCTCTTATTCCCTCCAGGTCAATGTTGGATGTGTGCCAAAGAAGGTGAGGCTGTTCTGCCGCCGGCTCCGGTGGCGTGGGCTGGGTCTGGTGTGGCTGCCTGCCAAATTTTAGCGAGGTGCTGGCACAGGGTGTGGGGAGGAAGCAGGGCCTCGGAGGGGATTGATGCCGTGGGCGCTCTGGGCAAAGGTGAGGAGCCAGGAAGGCTGGCAGGGGTTTTCCCAGAATGACAGCAGTGCTCCTGAGCCAACCTGGAGTTTGCCTGGGCAGGTGATGTGGAACACGGCGGCCCACGCGGAGTTTGTCCACGATCACGCTGACTACGGCTTTGAGACTGCGGGGGTCAAGTTCAACTGGAGGTAAGAACGGGAACCGGTTGGGAACCAGCATTTTCCAGTGAGTGTCCCACAGGGAACAGCCCTCTGTCCACTTCCAAGGGGTCCCTGCCTGCTTCCAGGCTCCCGTGGGCTGTGCAGAGCTGCTTACAGGACCAGCTGTGTTTTGGAGAACAGGGGGCCAACCAGGCTGTGGGAAGAGACTCTGGGAAACACAAACACAGGGAAGGCAGGCACGGAAATCTTGCTTTGGTGGGGAAAGGGTCACAAGGAGCTGTTTTATTTTGTGCCACGTGCCAGAGGGGTTGAGTTCATGGGATCATTAAGGTTGGAAAAGACCTCTGAGATCACTGAGTCCAACCTCTGACCAAACTGGACCTTGCACTGGGTGCAAGGTTTTTCCTGGGCTCTGAGGTTCATCTGCTGGCAGTGATGGCATTCCCTGCTCTGTTCCAGGACCATCAAGGAGAAGCGTGACGCGTACGTGCGGCGCCTCAATGACATCTACGAGAACAATGTGAAGAAGGTGAGCGTGGGATGTGTGTTTATCCTGCAATCCCAGTGGCAGAAGTGATGGATTTTTGGGCACTTTTCCAGCCCTAATGGGTGTTCTCCGACCGTGGAAGCCCTGGCTCCATTAGCTGTCTCCTGATCCCGCTGTTAACCCTGTAACTGTTATCCCTCAGGCTCACATTGACATCATCCGGGGCTATGGCAAGTTCACCTCTGATCCCGAGCCAACCATCGAAGTGAATGGGAAAAAATACACGGCTCCTCACATCCTCATAGCCACGGGAGGGCGCCCGGCCGTCCCTGCTGACAGCGAAATTCCCGGTGAGCCTGATGAAATCCCCCGGGCTCCCAGGCTGGGAGAGGTCTGCCCAAGCAAAGCAGGCTTGGGGAGGGGAAGGGGGACAGCTGAAGGCTGCGAAAGCATCTCTGCTTTGCAGGTGCCAGTCTGGGGATGACCAGTGACGGCTTCTTTGACCTGGAGGAGCTGCCCAGGTAAAGTGGGATCCATCCCCCCGCAGCCACCGGCGCCACCTCCAGGTGGCTGCACACGGCGTTGTCGCTTTGTCACAGGCGCAGCGTCGTTGTCGGGGCCGGCTACATCGCGGTGGAGATGGTGGGGATCCTCTCCACGCTGGGCTCCAAGTCCTCCCTGCTCATCCGCCACGACAAGGTAGTGCCAGCCCCTGTCCCCAGCTGCACCTCCCGCCCCACTGCCACAACCCTTTTCTGGTGGTCACAGTGATCTCTGGCTGTCAGTTCCCAGTAAAGGAGGGTCTGAGTTGGGAATAGTGATGCAGGGGATGGTGGCATGGCAGCCATGGAAAGGGAGGGGGGACACGTTTTAGCAGCACCCACTCACGTGCTCGGCGTTTCTGCGTGTCACCGCATCCGTCCCCTCGAGCTTTATTTCAAGTCACGACTTGAAAAGGGGAAGAAAGGAAAAGCAAATAACGGAGAAACAAACAGAGGAGCACCCCAAACCTCTTGGGTTCCAGGAGCAGGGAGATGCCGCTGGAGGGGCTGCCAGGTGGTGCCTTTGCCTGCAGACCCTCCTCTGACAGGGCTGGGGGGATCCTTGCTCAGGTGCTGCGAACCTTTGACTCCCTGATCAGCTCCAACTGCACCCAGGAGCTGGAGAACATCGGGGTGGATGTCTGGAAGCACACACAGGTGGGAAAGCACAGAGCAGCGCTGTGGCTCGTCCCGTCCCTCCTGCAGAGGCAGGGCTGGGGGAAGGCTGCTGTTTTGGGTGCTGCTTGCTGAGCCGTTGTTTTGGCAACACCCCTGCTTCTGCAACATGGCCGCCGTCGCTTGCTGCAAGGCAAAAGCCATCTGCACCTTCTCCCGCTGCTCCTGTTCCCCTTAGGTCAAGAAGGTCACCAAGTCTCCACGTGGGCTGCTGGATGTGACGGTGGCCTCGGTGGCACCCGGCCACAAGCCGAGGGAGGAGGTGATCCGGGACGTGGACTGCCTGCTGTGGGCCGTGGGGCGGGAGCCCAGCTCCGACGGGCTGGGCCTGGACCGAGTGGTGAGATTGCAGCGCGTCCCCTCCGTCTCCTGCCCCGGGTCTCCGGGTGTCCCACGGGTATTTGGGGTTCCCCTGGGTCTCCAGAGCCTGTCACAGGTGCCCCGTGAGCCCTCCCATCCCTGCTGGAGCATATGTGGCTGCTGTTTCCCCCGGCAGGGCGTGCGGGTGGACCCCAAGGGCCACGTGCTTGTGGATGAGTACCAGAACACCACCAGGAAAGGGATCTATGCCGTGGGGGATGTCTGTGGGAGAGCCCTCCTCACGCCAGGTACTGCAGTGTGCCCCCTCCCCTGCTGCGCCCCGCGGCGCCACAAGGCTCAGGCGGCCTGTCCCTCCTGCAGTGGCCATCGCGGCTGGCAGGAAGCTGGCCCACAGGCTCTTCGAGGGCAAGCAGGACTCCCGGCTGGACTACGAGAACATCCCCACGGTCGTCTTCAGCCACCCGCCCATCGGCACCGTGGGGCTCACTGAAGGTGGGGACAGAGGGGGCGAAGGGGCTGGGGACGCTGGCTCAGAGCTGCTGCTTGGATCTCCAGCAAGCGAGCCTTGACAAAAGGGCTTCGACTCCTCTTTTGGAGTGTGCATCCCTCTGAGCCCTGTTCCGTGGCTTCTGCTGCAGAGGAGGCCGTGGCCACGCATGGGAAGGACAACGTGAAGATCTACAACACATCCTTCACCCCCTTGTACCACGCTGTCACCCAGAGGAAGGTGAAGTGTGTCATGAAGCTGGTGTGCGCTGGCAAGGAGGAGAAGGTGAGTGGGGGTGGTGGGGACCACGGCTGGCTGTCCTCGTGTCCCCATGTGCTCAGCTCTTGGGCTGGGATCCAGACCCTGGATTCTGGCTCCCACCTGGCCTCTGGCTTCTTCTCCAAAGGTGGTGGGGTTGCACATGCAAGGGCTGGGCTGCGACGAAATGCTGCAGGGCTTTGCCGTGGCCATCAAGATGGGCGCCACCAAGGCCGACCTGGACAACACCGTCGCCATTCACCCCACTTCTGCCGAGGAGCTGGTGACACTGCGCTGAGCCTGCTGTTTGCCGTGTTTTCCAAAGTGCCTTTGCCTGCAGGGTGTGGCTGTAAGGTGGCTGTGGCTTGCTGTGGAATGGGAAGTAAACGCTTTGATGCTGGCCGGTCTCTGCCTGTTGCTCTCTGGTGCCCGTCTGCCAGCCGTGCAGGGTGTTGGCACGGTCTGTGGATGTGGTTTGGGAGAAGGCTGGCAGCGGCCAGGCTCCTCCTCTGCAGTCCCTGGCACTGGGGCTGGGCAGGGAGCAGCGGAGAGGGGCAGGACAGGGAGTCCTTGGTGTGTTCTGGGGTATCCTGGATGGGCTCCATCCTCCTCTTTATCTCATGTCCCAGCACCACTGGCTCTCCAGCTTGTCCTGACATCACAGGGGGAGCCCAGGCTGTGGGTTCAGGGAACAAATTCCCTGTTTCCAGCCCCATTTCCAGCAGCTGGAAGCTCAGACTCAGCTGGGAAAGGAAGAGGCCTGAGTTGTGTGGGGTTTTGGGGATCAGATCGGGGCATCCCACGGTGAGCCTGGGCCAGGCACCTTCATGTCCTGGAAACAGGGACCGAGGCCTGTGTTTGGAGGGCACCACGCTCGTTTGGCTAGTTTTAGGGTCCTGTAATAAATAAATAAATCAGGCTCTCTTTTTGGCTCACAAATGAGGCACATCCCGCATTGTTGGCACTTGGAGTGGGCACTGGGCAGCCTCAGGGCTGTGAAACAGACTCCAGCCCTGTCTGGGGAGTGTGAATGGAGGCTCATCCAGGCACCTGAGGGCTTTGGTCAGCCCAAATCCTGAGTTTTGGGGCTCGGGGTGGACCCCAGGCTGTGAGACACGGCGGGACCTGGGCATGGAGCGAGGCAGTCCCAGGTCCGGAGCGGAACCGGGACATTTGTGCCTCTGGAGTCGCTCCCCTCCTTTCCCCTCCATGCCCCTCTATCACCCAGATGCTCTTTGCAAGGGAAAAATAGAAATTACGCCACGGACAAAAGCGTTGACAGCAGAACTGGACACAGCTGGGCAGTGTGAGCAGCCCGTGGAAGTCAAACCGGTGACCATCCAGGGGGATTTTAAATCGGATACTGCAGGTTTCATCTCGCAGGGACTCCAGTTTTTTTGGCACCTCTTGCTTATATTCTTCCCTGTTGGAGGAGGTCACTTAGTCTTTTTAATGGCCAGATTAGCCAGCACAGGGTAAAACAGCCAGCATTTCCTGAACACCTCCATCACTTCCATATCCATCTGCACCCAGGGGCCGATGGAGAGCAGCTCATCCTGAACAGGCTCCGAGGTGGGACTGGATGACCCTTGAGGTCCAAACCAAACCGTTCTGGGGTTCCATGGACGCTTCCATGAGCTCTCCCAGCGTTTATTTCGCATCGTGTCCTTCCTTCTGCTCCCAGCAGATGGTGCCGCCGGCCTTTAGAAGGGATGGAAGTGTCCTGGGACACGGAGCCGCTTTTAAAACGAAAAGGAAAATATTCTGCAAGAAATCCGTGATGAAGATTCCATGCTGACGTTCCACGGGAGAAGCAGAAAGCGATTCCCTGCAAAATTCCCTGCGTTGTGGTTACTTTGTTGCTTCCACGAGTAACACCTCTCCATCGGAAGCTCTTTGGATTCCTAAGTGAACTCGCCACCTTTTGGGCTTCCAGGCAGAGGGAATGTGAACGTGGGGAAGTGATGGGGAGCAGGGAACTGCAGCAGTGTGTGTGTGTGTGTGCAGGGCGAGCTGGGGTAGGAATTCCAGACAAAATCCTCTTAGCTGGATGCAGGCCCTTCAGGATGCTCTCTTGGTCAGAAGTTTCTCTATCTCTGGCTTTTTTCTGCATCCAGCTCCGGGCCCCCAGTCCTGGATTCTGGAATTCCATTCTGCTGCGTCACAGAGGGCAAAAGTGCCCTCGCTGCAATGCCTGTGTGTGGCTGGAGCTTCTCAGCCTGCACTTACAGCACGTGATGATTCCCTATGGTTCCACGCTGAGTTATGCTGGAAAAGAATTTGTTGGTTTAGATTCATATTGGGATAATTGTTTGTTCTCTGGAATTGACATGATTTGTTAAAGGATTGATTTTTAAAACTATGCCAGGAATTAAAAGGGGAGTGTAAAAAATAGAGAATTTATTCTTATTAAAGAATGGTTTCCTACATCCATGAAATCATTAACTGGAAGCCTGTTCTCCCAGAATCTCTCCTTGGGATGCTGTTTTTCTTTCCAGGATCTCCTTGTGCTGCCCGGGGTGGGCACGGAGCAGTTTGGGGACACTGGGGGTGGCAGCAGGTGCTCCTGAGCCTCTGCCTTTGGGATTCCTGCCCCCGTGTTGCAGGAGAGCCAATCCACCTGGGCTGGCAGCTGGAGCGCTCTGCAGAGCTCCAGGATTGGGAAAAGAAGATCCTGGGGCTGTTTGTTTGTTTGTTTGTTTTTCTCTCAGTGACCCAGACGAGTTCACATATTTTTATTTTGCTCTTCTATCAGTAATTTGTTTTTATCTCAGAGACCAAGACGAGTTCACATATTTTTATTTTGCTCTTTTATCAGTAGCAGCTAACTCCAGTAGGAGGGAAGTGTCTGGGGCTTGAAGTAGCCTTTAAATCCAAACCACGCTGCTAAGTCTAAAATGCAGTGAGATTGGTTTGGGATGTTTTGCTGGGAAAAGGGGTGTAAAAAAGTGTAACTCTGACCATTTCCTGAGGCTGGCAGGTAAGATGGCACCTTATCCCAAAAGAATGGACCTGTGCTGCTGGGTTTTTTTTTTTTTTTTCCCCAAAAGAAAATCCTAGAAAGGAAAACTTACTTGCAGTCCTTGCTGTGGGTTGCAGCTGTCATTTACTGAGCAGAATTGGCTTCAGCTGGAGTCAAACCAGGAGGTTTCTGAGGTAACCTCCCAGCATGCCAAATTCCTGACATCAATCAGAGGTGCCTATCCACCTTATCCAGGTAAGGCTTAGGATTTGGTGTTAACTGAAATCGAGTCACCGAGGCAGCAGCAAATGGAAATTCAAGAGCACCAAAAGGATTCAAATCCTCAGAGCAGGTCACAGGGAAAAAAAATAAATCAATGAGTACCTAAAGTCCTTGTGTGGATGTGGATGGTGATGTAAAAGGGAAGAGTCAGAAGGTACAGGGAGAGTTCAGCCCTTCCACAGCCATCATCCTTCTGGAGAGGTGACACTGCACTTAATCCTCTGCTGTCACCTTCACAGCCAGTTCTTCTCCTCTGCAGGAGGTGTTTCCTCTGGGCAAATCCAGCATGGGGCTGTGCTGGAGTGCTCAGGATCCAACCCTACAGGAGCTCAGCTCTTCTGCCCTTGGGCCAGGCAGGCTGCTCTGCCCAATTTCCAGCGAGGCACAATCCAGTATTCCGCATCCCAGGAGCTTGGGTGGGGGGTTGAAATGCTGTTTGTTGTGACAGGCTCATGATGTGCCCAGGCTGTGGGCTGTCTGTGTCTCACAGAGGGCACTGGCACTTCCTGTGCTAAAAGAGATGGAAATCAAACAATCCTGTGGCTCTTGCTGGTGCAAAGAACCCTTGTGATGTGCTCTGTGCGCTGGGATTGGTTTGGTTTTTCCTGGTTTTCACCTGGCAGTGATGGCAGGATCCTCTGTGCCCCCCATTTTTTGGGGGGGGGACATAAACTGGAAAAAAGCTGTGGCTAGTCCAGATATTTCCTGGGGTCCCTGTCCAGTTTCCAGTGATGGAACTGCTACTTGGAGACTGGATCCTTGGAGGACTTGAGTAATTTCCTACTGGAAGCTTTTAAAACAGGGACTTGCTTCCAAGGTAAGGCAGCTGAAATCTTATTGCTTGCCAGGCTCCTCAATAAAGTGGTGGCATAAGTGTGCCTGGGTGTGGAAATCTTACTTTAACCTGATCTCAGGGAGCAGTTGGCTGAGGTTTTAGTTAAGATTTAAAACAGCCTCTGACACATCAAACAAAAAAATGTACATTTAGAAGCTTAAAGGTAGACTGAGCACAAAGTAAAAAAAATATATAATGACAAGGAATAGGTAACAGCCTTGGCTCTCATGAAGTAGGGTGGAAATTATATATAAATATACATATATATATATAAAAATACAGAGCCATAACCAAGTTTCTGTGAATCCCTCACCTGCCATTTGCATCTCCTGATTTATATTTACGATTTGGCTTTGGGGTGAAATGTTTTCTATTCCCAGCTCCAGTGGATGAGTAATCTGCAGCTGAGTCTGGTGTTTATTACATCCATCCTGCTGATAGCCTTGCTCTCCATCATTTGAAGTTTGAGATCTTTTTAAAAGAAATACCCACAAACTATTTTCTTTGGCCCCAGCTCAGACTATGCAGATGAATGGCTCTGAGGGGAGGATAAGCAGTTTAGGCTCATGGAGAGGAGATGGGTGTGCAGCTCTGAGATTGGCACAACTCCCTGGGATTGCCCATTTCAAAATGAGAAATTTGCTTCTCAAGGAGCACTTGTTTTTCCCTATGAAAGTAAATGTCAGTAAGAAAAAAAATTATTGGAATGCAACTGGCTGTTTTTGGGGTGTGTTTTCTTCCACAGCTCCTTTCTCCCAGCTGAAAACCTGCTGGGATATCTGGCTTATTTGGAGATGAACCACTCTGAGGTATGCCATATAAAATATCATGGAAATACTGATGGATGAAGAAGTTAAACACTTGAAGAGTAAGTTCTATTACCTTAATTCACAAATATCCCCAGAGTCCCCAGCTCATGACCCACACCAACACCTCCTGCACCACTCCCTGTGGAACTGGGAATGGGGGGTTTGGGGTGGCTGCAGCTCCCCCTTGCTCTGCAGGAGAAGCCAAGATGAGCCCAGATTGCCAGGGGCTGTTCATGGGGTCCCTGTGGAACAGCATTTCAGTTTCCAGTCAGTGGTTCCCTTCCTGGTGCCCCGAGGCAGAGGAAGATCCATGAATTTCTCTCTCCTTTATTTCTCAGACGCTCACAGACCCATGTCCTGTTCTTTTTGCCTTCCTTCAGGGGCTGTGTTTTGCCCCTGGGACTTTCTCACCTTTCAGCAGACCAGGATAATTTTCCAAGGTCCCTGGGAAAACCTCTGCTGTTGTGCCATTGCTGAGCTCAGGACAAGGGAAGAACAAATTTTTTAGCACTCAACCACGTTGAATGTTCTTCATGTACAGCTACATGCCCTGCTGTTCTTCCCACCTCTGAAGTTTCCATATTTTTGTTTCAGCCTCAGAGGATCCTCTGAGGGTATTTCACACATAAAAATGAAGACATCAAGAGGACAAGCCCAGCGGGTTGTGCACAGGGGTGAAGCAGTGGTGGCACCACTTCACAATGGCTTGGAACTGCCACTCTAACGATGGAAAACTGAATTTCTCTGCCCAGAGGTACAAGATGGTCCTGGTCAGGCTGTGAGGTGTATTTGTCTATTGGGGCTGTGTCTGGGATTCCAGAGCCTCCTGGTTTTGGGAACCCAGTGTGGGTTGGGGCATTTTTCACTCAGGGAGCCTCCCAGTTTATTCCTTTGCAGATTTTCTCTGGTGTGTGAAATGAAGGAGGGAGGCCTTGCTCTTATCAAGTTACCACGTGGAAGCAAATTACTGTTATTTATTATCTTATAACAATTATGAATTGCATAATTTTTTTTTCCTTTTCTTAGATGATTTATGTTTCTGCCCTCAGGCCCCTGTGGAAACACCAGGCACTGGCTTAATTTCTCCTTCCAGCCAATCCTCCTCCCCCTAAGCTTCAGGATAATAGAAATCCATGGAGCTTTTCCATTTCCTGTCATCTGCAGCGTTGGTGCAGCCACTTCCCTACGCCTGCCACAGCCACAATTTCATTAGTGCAGCTGGGATGACACTCAGCTCCAGTTTTGCCTCAAAGCTGTTTGCAACTTCTTGTTCACCAAGCTACGGACAAAAACTATTCCAGGGATCATTGCTGAAGAGATCAGCAGCTGCTGCCTCACAACACAGTGTGAGAAGCAGAGAGAAAACACAAAGTATGTATCTGAAATCACCATTGTTCCTCCTGCTTTCAGCGTGATAAGGGACAGCCCTGTCATGGCATGAGCAGGAACTTCTGCCTCAGGTCATCAGAGACTCCTGAAAAGCCAAACTCCAGCAGGTAAGGAAGGAAAGGCTCCTCTGGGGACAGCACAGGGGCAGCTGGGCATGGGGACTGGGAATGTGGTGGGAGGCAAAAGCCACCTTCCCCTGGCCACAGTGTCTCCCTTAAGCAAATCCTCTGGGAAGCAAAAGATTATGGAAGAAAATTAGTGGGTAATAATGATAACAATAATAATAGTAATGTGGGGAAGAGCAGCAAAGGGAGCAGCAGGAATTCTGGTTTTTAATGGGGTGAGACAGCATCTCCTGGGATTTATAAAGCCCAGCTCCAGGTCTGGGACTAAAGGAGCAGTGTGAACTCGTGTTGTCAAATATCTGTGCTTGCATTCTGCCAGAGTTCCCCATCTCGAGGCCAGGCTGGGGTGCAAGTGCTCCAGTGCTGCTTCCTTGATGGATCAGGAAAATGGGCATTAAAGCACTTCTCACAAGGCTGACTCTGAGCTCCGGCTGGGGAAAGCCTTTGGAACACCAGCCATCCCAATAAGATCACTTCCAATGATTTTGAAAGCCTGTAGAGTAAAAACTGATCAAGACAAATAAGCCTTTCTCTGTAAGGGCAGCCCCACAGAATGCACAGCTCTTCCTACACTTGTTCAAACCTACAAGCAGCCGGTTTTTGGTGAGGGATTCCAGATTTTTGTCTCCCTGCCTGGCTGTGCAGGCATTTAATAAGAATGTAAAATACAGACCCATTGAAACACTGCACTGCTGCTGGTTTCTGAACAGGCACAAGAGACCAGAATGTGATGATGGGTTTTCACTGCTCTGCTTGTTCCAAACCTGAGGCACAGCAGAATAAATACTTTATTTTTTACTGCCCTTGCTTCCTGAAAATAAAGCACTTGCAGAGGCTTTGCTGAGCTTTCATACAAGCTCATCAGGACTCAGATAACTTGTGCCTAAATTTAAATTCCATTTTTATTAAGCAATTTGAAGCATCCTAAAAGCACCTGCGCTCATACTTTAATTTCATGCCTGCTGCCACCAATTAATTTTGCCCCCTGCTTCTTTAGGCATCCTCGTCTGGGAGACAAAATGTGTGTGGAAAAAGGTTTGGAATGCTGCCTCCAAGTCAAGTTAGCTGCCTGGAAGTGAACCCAGCTCTCTTGGAGCTCAGCAGGCTTGCTTGTGAGCAGAGAATGAAACCATCCAACTGCACAGAAAACCATCTCGTGTTCATGAAATGGGGCTGGATTTGGATACGTGCAGGCATAAAGCCTGTGCCAGTTGAGAATGCTTTAATCCCTGTTTTTCAGTGCTGGAGTCAGTGACTTTTCAGTGATTGCTGCTGCCAGGGTGCACGTGAGCTTTATGCTTATTTCAGCACACAGTGCACCCAAAGCAGATAACAATGCTAATATAATAATAATAATAATAATAATAATATCATATTCCTTCAGCTCAATTGCAGGCAGACTAAAATGACCTCTCTACAAATATCTTTCAGGGCACGAGGAGGAGGAGGATGGACTCAAACTCTTCGTGGGCTTGGCCTCACTTGGATTTGCTGAACCACAACGGGACGTACAAGTCCCTGTACTTGGAAGGAAACGTGGGCTTCTACCTCCACCAGCCTTGGGTGGCTGCTGTCTTCATCACCTCCTACCTCCTCATCTTCCTCCTCTGCACGGTGGGCAGCGGGGGCGTTTGTTTCATCGTCCTGTGGAGCAAGCACAGGCGCACGGTCACCAACCTGCTCATCCTCAACCTGGTGACTTGCTGGTGGGGCTCTTCTGCGTGCCCACCACCATCATTGCAGGTGGGCTGGGGAGAGCCAGGGCCACGTGTCCAGGGGGTTCTGTGGGACTTCTGGGTCAGTGGAAGGTGTCCCTGGCCACGGCTGGAACCCCATGACCTCCCCTTCCATCCACACCACCCCGTGAGTCTATAATTCTACAATGGAGGATGAGAGCCAATGGTTTTAAGAGGAATCTGCTCCAGCACGGGTGTCTCTTCAAGATGGTGGAACTGGGCTGCAATTCCTGGCCTGCCTGGAATTGCAGGTTGGTTCCTCAGCCACGGAGCTGGATAGCAGAGGAGTTAGGCAGCAACTCAGAGGGAGGATGAAGAACAGGAAATTTAAAATGTGTGTTCATCCCAGCCTGGGCAAGGAAGCATTCCTTACACGGCTTCTCCGCTGCCCGTGCCGCGGGTTCCGGTGCATCGTGCATCCCTTCAAGCACAATGGCTTCTTCCACCTGGCTTCCATCCTTCCCATCTGGCTGCTGGCCGTGGCCACCACGTGTCCCTCGGCCGTGCTGCCGCGGGTGCGGGAGGAGAAGCGTTTCTTCTGGCGCTGGGAGGAGCGGCCGGAGCCGGCCATGAGGAGGATCTACACCACGGTTCTCTTTGCCAACATCTACCTGTCCCTCTCCCTGTCCTCCATCTATCCCTTGGCTCACCTTCTTCCACAGCAGCGCCGACCCCCTCATCCACGGCTTCTGCAAGGAGAAATTCCTCCGTGGTTTCCGGGCCGCGCTCGGGCTCCGGCTCTGCTCCAGGCCGGCCTGCTCCCAGCCATTCCCAGGCAATGCCGTCCTGCCAGCTGTGCCAGGATCCCGCTCCCCAGGCGGCAGAGAGAGGGAACTGGGTGAATAACCAGCAGGATCTGCTCGTGGAGGAGGGCAGAGGCAGTGGGATGGAGCGAAAGTGACTCCGCGGATCTCTCTGAGCAGCTGGAAAAGTGTTGCTTGAATCCTATTTACGGTGACATTTCATTCCTGTGAGGAATCCCTTATCCTGGAACTCTCATGGACTGAAACGCTGCAGACACGGGATGCAACCCATCCCTGGAAGAAAATCCCTGGCTTTTCTTGTGGTCGTGCTTCTTACCACCAGGACCTGCTCAAATGACAAAATTAAACCTTTTCCGTCGCGTTCCATTTATTCCCCTTTGTTGCTGCTGTTTCTGCCACATCCATTATTATTGCAGCTAGGGAAACAAATGGAATATCTGAGAAATAAAGGATAAAAAAATGGGTTTGGTGGTGTGTTTTTTGGGGATGATTTGATGCTGCAGGGGGTAGGAGTCACCCAACAAGACTGAAATTTCACTGTGGGCAGGAGAGGGGACACTTGGATGGGACAAACCTCAGCAGGGACAAGAGTGACACTGGAGGAATGGGATTTGTGCAAGGAGCAGCACAGGATCACAGAGCACTAAGGCTTATTCTATAAGGCCTTACCAAATCCCAGGTAAAGCCATTCCACAGGGCAGTGCTCCCTCAGGTAAATGGGATTGACTTCCACATTACGACATTCCCTGCTGTTCACTGTCTCAAAGTTATCACTCTCTTCCCAACACATTACCTAAATTTTATCCTCAAAGCTTTCTTGTTAACTTTCTCCTCACAATGTCCATTTGCCCTAGGGTGCAAATCAGACTTCAGGCCCAGGAGGAACATTTCTCCCACACGCCAACACCTTCACTCGCTCACCTCCGATTCAGGAAACCGGATCAGTGCTTGGCTCTGCCATAAAAGAGAGGAAAAGGGCGTTTTGCCGGGATTTGGGACATGGCGCCCGCCCTCCCCTCACACGACCCCCGTGCTCGGCCGCGGGAGGCGGGAGCGAGGCTCGCCTCCCGCTGCCCAATCAGCGCTGCGATCGCCTCACGGCGCCAGCCAATCCCGAGCCGGCCAAAGTTATATAAGAGCCGGTGCCTGAGGCGGCGTTTCCAATTTTCCGGTTTGGCGCTGCCCTTTCGTGCTTCGGTGAGGTAAAAATGCACTTTAATGTTTCTATTTGTGATGTGTGGAAGTGGGAGTGATGTTTCAGTGTGGGATGTGCTGCGGGGCAGGTACTCGGTGTTCCCAAGTAAAGCCATAGCAAGGAGAAATCTCTTGATCTCTCTGAGTGTGCCTTGGCATCTCAGAGCCTCTCCCTGCAAATTATGAGGGGAATGTTTTCTAAATCGGTTGTTTACTGATCTTTTTCGTGTTGAATTAATGAATTTTGCTCATTTCATGTCGTTTAAGCTTTGGGTGGCATTTCCCGTGGGGCTGGTGGAGTGCTGAGGGCTGCTGGGAGAGGCAATTGCCCTGAAAAGCTTTTCTATAAAACATAAGTATATGAAATAGTGGAGTTTCTGTGATAAGAACAGGACTTAGGCTCTCAGTAGAGAACTGGGGTGTGATGGGCAGGGACTGGGAAGCACGCAGGTTTTTTCTGCGTTAATTTCTCCAGCCATTGATTTCTGTCTGTTTGCAGCAGTAACTTCATCAATTAGAGCTGCATCATGGATGATATCCAAGCTTTTCTTTAGGCCTGACAGCACAGCAGGGAGCAGAACCCAGCTTCAAGTGCAGTGAAACAATGCCAGGAAAACATAACTCTCTTGGAAAATAGCATAAAATAACACATTGTAAATGTCTTTATTTCAGCCTGCCACTACAGTTTGTGAATATGCAGCTGTACTTATTGAGATAAGACACAGGTGATGTGCTGGCACTCCTGGATTAATGTGAATTGTTGCCAGGTGTTTTCCATCAGGCTCAGTTGCAGTGGAAAAGCTGGAGCTCTGAATCCTGGTGTCCAGTGAGTGTCCTGGTGGCCCTGAGCTAGTGCTGTGCTGCCACCAAGTCAGCCCATTCTCCTTAAAACTCTCTTGAGAAGTGCTGGAAGTGCTCATGGAGAACTGCACTGACATTTCGGGTTCCCACAGCCCCTCCTGCCGTGTCTTTTCCTCTCTGGCAAGAGGAAAACCCGCTTGGCTTTGCCATGCAGGGCTGCCCGAGGCTGTGAACTGCAATCCCCAGAGATCCTGGGGCTCCTGGGTGAGTGGCAGCCTCAGGCAAGCCCTGCCTTAGCCTCAGATTTTTGTCAGCACTTAAAATTTAAGAAATCACTCCGGCCCACGAGTTCTAAGGACGGCAGAACAGCTCTGTTCACAAAATGAATTGTTTATTAAGCATACAGGAGATAACAGACGAATTAAAATTGGTCAAACAAGCCATTTTATTGTGTTGTAGATCGGGATGTTCCCCACTCTTTGAGTCTCAAAGTCACAGGAAAGATGAGATGAAAATCAGGATCAAAGGGAAGTTCTCAGAGTTAATTTTCCAGCTTCAGTTACTTTGAGGAGTTCAACAGATGGGCCAGGGGCTCCCTTCACTTCCATTCAGGCTTCTTAGTCCAGGGTTCTCCTCCAGTGAATTTCAGCATTTCACATTTCCTGCCTCAACCTACCAAGCATTAGGCAATCCTACAGTTCTATACCTGAACTAGGAAGAGGGAGGAAGCACAAAACTGCTTCCATGACCTTGGGAAAACCCAGGTTTTGCTCAGGGAGCAATCCTTCCCGCCCGTGGAGACAAGCAGGGTGTGCAGAGCCGAGCGCCGCGGGGAATGTGAAATACAGAGCTGTGTTTTGTGTCAGGTACGTGGAGACAATGTATCTGTGACTGTGATATGTGTGGAAACCGACGGTGGGACAGTTATAAACACAATTCTAACAAATAACTGAGGGGGTAAAGCATGGAAGAAGGCCTTTGAACCTATCCTTTGTTTGCAGTTAACCTTTATAAGCCTTGAAGCATTCGAATTAAAACTTTAAGGACGTTGCTGTTTGACAGGAACATTTATAACAGCAGCAGGCTCGGGAATCCCCTTTGAGAAAGCGCACAAACAGCGAGCACAGCTCGGCCCGCCCCTGAGCTGCGCTCGCCGCCACACGGGGGCACGGGAGGAGCGGTTTGGGAAAGCTGGGCTCCTTTCAGAGTCCCAAAAGCAATCCTGGCCAACCGGAGCGGTTTTGGTGCTTCTGGCGTGCCAGGCCTGGGTGGTTTTGTTCCCCTCTCGCCGCGTGAGAATGCCGTGCCGGTGTCAATGCTGGTTTAGCTCCCCTCGTGCCGTGCTGGGTGTGGCTTTGGGCCGTGCCTGGTCGCAGGGAAAGTCGGCAGTTTGGCTGCTGTGGCTTCCCAGCCCTGTTGTTTTTTTGTCACTGTTTGTTTCTGCAGAGAGGAAAAGCATCCCAGCTTGGCTGGCAGCAGAGCCCAGGCCTGAGGCTGCTCAGCGTTGGTGTGACCTGTCACAGCTGCCCAGAGCCAGGAGATGCAGCTGAGGGATCCAGGAGGATGCAGCTCTTGTTTCCAAGGAGGTAAGAGCGCAGGAAATGGAAGGGGTGTTTTCCAGGCAGGGAAAGAGGGGTGTCAGGGAGAATTTCAGCTGGCAGCAGCTGGATGGGCTGCCAGGACATGGCTTGGTTCAGTGCTTCTCACAGCCTGTACGGGAGCTGCAATTCCAGCGGCACCTCACAGATGGCTCGTGGTGTTCCCCATTTGTGCCAGTGCTGTGCCGTGTGAGGAGCAAAGGGATTGCAGCAGCAGTCTGGAATGATGTTCCTGTGGCGGTGTTGTCCTGTTCCAGCAGCTTGTGGGGCGTGAGGCGCTGCTGACAGCAGCAAAGCACTGCCAGGGTCCCCGCTGTGCAGGGAACAAAACGCTGACCTGGAGATCCAGCCTGGCTGCAGAAGGAGCTCTGTGGCCATTTCCATGCCCTGAGCTGACATGGCACCACGGGGCCAGGGACACAGGTGGATCCACTGCTGGCTCTGAGCTGGTACAACGGGCACTGGACACGGGGAGCTGGATGGGAAGATTTGGGTCAGTCTGGAAACTTCCTTGAGCCCCGAGGATCGTGGCAAGTGTAGCACTGACAGCTCCAAATTAGGAAAAATCAAAAGATGAACCGGTTCTCCACAAACTCAGCTGTCAAAATTATTTTTCAGGATAATATAAGACTGAAAGGAGCTTGGCAGGAGAGCCCCTGTGAAACAAAGCACAATGGGAATACCTGTGAGTAGGGACTCTAAGGAATTCCTGCTGCTCCTGCTGTCCTGGTCTTTTCCAGGTAGGTTTTGGATGGAATTGAAAGGCAGTTTTCTTGCCTCTGGTGAGCTGCAGCCACATCCCCCTTGAAGAAGAAAATGTGGAGGGAGTGGCAAGCAGGAAGGTGGCTTTTAGAGCACCACACCAATTGCTGCAAAAGAAGGAAAAGGAAGCCAGCAGCCTGGAATTGGATGCCCCAGGCCCCTGCCAAGCACAGGGGCTGCTGCTTGGTGTTTTTTCTCCAAGTGTTTGTCCTGTACTGTCCATTCAGGGCTCGTTCCTCACTGTTCCATCCAATAAAATCATGTAGAAGGGCACTTATATATTTAATATGGCTGCCACCTCTCCTTTTTTATATGAAAAGCTCCATAATGAGCAGTGAGAACAAATATGTGAAAGCCAGGAGCTTTTGACTCGCACAGCAGACTTAATTTTCCTTTTCTTCTCTCTTTCAGGACAGGAAAAATCATTTAATTGGACCCAGCTCTGCCAGAACCTTTGGTTTTGGGTGGGATTGAGCAGCCAAAGCCCAGAGCCTGCAGCCCTGATGGCCTGGGGTAAGTCAGAGGGACACACTTCCCTTTTCCTGGCTGTTGGGATTAGCTCACTGGGAAGTGTCAGCACAGCTCTGCTCTTCACTGGGCTCTGTAAAAGCTCCATTTTCCCTTGTGGTCAGGGATGTGCTGTCCAAGGGCTTGGGGATTCCAAGGAGGCCAGAAAAGGAGGGTGTGAGGTGCCAGAGCTGTGTCCCATCAGGCTGTGTTTGTCTCTGAGAAACCCATGCCAGCAATTTTTACAGAGGAAAAAATATTAGCAATTACTTTTGATCCCTTGGGGAAGTTTCTTTGGAATTAGTAAGTGCAGAGTGTATCAGTGGAGAGCATTTCCTTTGGCTCTTTTTCTGGTTTGTCATTTCCTTTCTGGTTTAAATTAATTTTTTGTGCTCCTGTTAGGGAAACAACATGTTTTTGCCTTCAAATATGGGGTGGGTTTATTTGTTTATGGGTCAGAGAAGGAAGTGAAATTACATTTTATTATATTTCCCCAAAAATAAAGTGGGATGTTGTCCTGCCACTCCCCAAACCACTCCAGGCACCTGGGAGTAGCTCAGAGCTGGCAGAGTTGCAATGGAATTTAAGATAAACTGAGGGAGTCAGTAGGGAACAGACAGGGAAAATATTTGAAATAACCTTTAGGGCAGAGAATTAACATTTTTGAGGTAAAAATGAAGTAATCAGTAGTGGACAGATAGGGAAAATTTTGTGAGTGAAGCTTTAATCTGTAAGGGGAAGAATGAACATTTTGAGGTCAAGTGGGGTAATCCATAGTGAAGTATTTTCCATAAGTAGGGAAAATTTTCAGAGCAAACTTGGGGCAGTCCACTGGGCAGAGAAGGGATGATTGGAAGTAAACTGAGGCAATCAGGAGTGCACAGGTAGGAAGATTTTGTCAGTAAAATTTGGGATAACATCTAGGGCAGAGCATGAACATTGTGAGGTCAGCTCAGGTAATCAGCAGTGTCCAGCTAGGAGAGTTTTTGGGATTGCTCCCAAGTAAGGTACCATGAAAACTTTGGAGGTGAAACCCTTGGTAAAATCTCTGTTTACAGGTATTCCCTGGTATCATTTCACCTGCCTGAATTCCTTGTAGCTCCCAGCTGGGAAAACCTGGCATAACTTTGAGGGGACAGAGGTGCCACTTTTGGTAGAAAACTTGTGGAATTTAGAGGGGACCCAACATGTGTTTGTGTAGGAAAATGTGAGGGAACCGAGGTGGCATTTTTAGGGAATAGCTATGGGGAGAGAATGCAAATTTGGGGTCAAAATGAGGGAATCAATAGTGTGCAGAAAAGAAAATTTGGGAGGCAAAACATGGGATAATCTTGATGGTAGAAAACATTCAATTTATTGTAAAAAATGGAGTAATGAGTAACAAAGGGAAATTTATGGGGGAAAAGCTTGAGGTGCTTTTTTGGGGGAGAGAATGAATATTTTGAGGGGAAAATGAGCTCATCAGAAGTGGACAAAGAGGGAGTATTTTGGGGGAAAAACCTGGAGTAATCTTTTTGGGGGAAAAAAATTGAACATCTTGAGGTAAACTGAGGTAACAAGTAGTGCAAAGGTAGCGATATTTTGGGGTTTAAACTCGAGGTAATCTCCAGGCTAGAGAATAAATATTTTGAGGTAAAACTGAGGTAAATCAGGAGTGGCCAGGTAGGGAAAATCTTGGTGAAATTGGTGATAACCTCCAGCAGAATCAGTGAAAATTTTGGGTGAAGAGTTGGGTAATCAGTAGCACACATGAGGGGAAACATTTGTGGCTGAAAACTGAGGTAACCTCCAGGGTAAGGAATGAACATTTTGAGGTGGAATCAGCAGGGCAGAGACACAGGAAATTTTAGGGGGAGAGAAAACAGCATTTTGAGGTTAAAAGTAGTGGACAGGTAGGGAAAATTTCAGGGGAAAATCCTGAGGTAATCTGCAGTGGGTAGAATGAATAATTGGGATAGGATAGAGGTAATTGGTGGGAAAATAGAAGTAATCAGTAGAGATAAAATGAATGTTTGGGAGTTCAAACGTGAGTTAACCTGTAAAGGAAGGGCTGAAAATCCTGAGGTAAAAATTAAAGTGGTCATTAGCAGATAGGCATGGAAAAATTTGGGATTAAAACTTGAGGTGGTGTAGGGGAGAGAATGAGCACTGTGAGGTAAGATGAGGTAATTAATTGTCACAGGTAGGAAAAACCTTGGGAAAAACTCAAACCTGAGTCTGTAAAGAAAGAAAAAAACGAGGTGAAACGAAGTAATCAGCAGTGTACTGCTAAAGTGAAGTTTTGGCTTTAAAATTTGAGATAATCCATAGGGAACAGAGAACATTTGGGTGAATAACCTGAAGTAATCTGTAAGGGACAGAATGAATATTTTAGGGATTAGATGGAAATAAATAGTGGAAGGTTTTGGTGGTAAAATCCCAGCCATCCCTAGGGGGCAAGATGAACAATTTGAGGGTAAAATGGAGGTCGTTTGTAATGGAATGAATGAAGATTTTGAGGTAAAAAGGAGGTTGTCGCTGGCGAATGTGTCAGGATAATTTTGGAGTTAAAACTTGAGCTGCTCTGTGAAGCACAGTTAATATTTTGGGGGGAAAATGTCAGCCCGTCTGTCCTGGCATTCATGAGGTTCCTGGGACATGCCTCTATTCCATAGGATTTGCTATTTTTAACCTTCCTGACAGTATTTTGTGTACTAAATATTTCCGCTGAGGGCAGGCGACTCTTCCTTTTGCCGAGCTCAGATCCCGAGATGGAATTAGATACTGTGTCATACGGATGTGGAAGCTGCAATTTTGTAGCCAAGTTGTTGTTGTTACTCTTTACAAAAAGGGTTTTTACCGCAGGTGTCTCTCCTTTCTCAGTGGTCACCCAGGTTTCCCGTGCAGCTGCTGCTCCAGGATGGAGCCGGATCCTGTGAGGGATCGGGGTCCCAGAGATCCTGGGGGTCCCTGGGGCAGCAAGGGTGGCACTGGCATCAGCAGAGCTTTCACACCTGGCAGTGACACAAACCGGGGCATCCCGAGGCTGTGCCTGCCTTGACTCACCTGGCGGCATTCTGGCATTTTTGTGTCCTCTTTTTTGGCCATTTCCCTCCCGGGCAGGACCCTCCCCGAGTGGAAATAAAGATGAAATATTTTAACCCTGGGGTTTTTAACCCAGAACTGGTGCCACTGGGGGCTGTGACGCGCGGGGACACCGCGGGAGAGGATCGGCTCTGCCTGGCAGCTCTCGGGGGCGCTGCCCCTCGTTGGAGGCAGGGGAAGCCGCATTTGGAGCTCCCCGATCCCGAAGGCAGCGGGGCAGGGAGCGCTGCCGGCAGCGCCGGGAGCCGCCCGCGCCCGCGCCCGGTCCGTGCCCCGGCCGGGTGCGCTCCTGGGCACACGGGGGGACCGAGGGACGGACAGGCGGCCGCTCGGGCTGCCGG